AAAAAAAAATCAGGAAAGGAGACACACACTAAACCAACTCACTGCAACAAGAACTGAGCGAGGTATAACATGCTTCACGCTTTTTAACTCCCAACCATTTCACAGGGGAAGACCCCTCAGGGGGTGAAGCCTTCCCAGCATTTAGAGGACAGCAGAGCAGAGAGGCTGCTGAAACCAGAGAACAGCCTCAGGAAATGCAGAATGAGCAGTTTGTGAACATTTTGTGCAGCGCTGTGTGGCCTGGCTAGATACAAACAAAGCCTGAACTCATCCCCACCACGAGCGTGTGGCTCGGGGCCTCGGGACCAGCTGCTGTCGCTCTGACCGTCCCTCTCGGGCACAGCGGTGGGACTGGGCTGCACAAACTCCCTCAGCCGATGCCCCTTGGTGCGGTTCCCAACAGCGATACCCAAAGCATCGCCCCACACCGCACAGGGGACGGGACAGCCCTGACGATCACCCAGGAGCCAGCAATGGGAAGGGAAAACCAGATGGCTCCTGCCACCCCACCCTCTGGGCTCTGCTGATCTCTGATGATCCTCCCTTTTGGGCAGCAGGAGGGTCCCGGCAGTGCCGCGGGGTCCAGCTGAGCGTACACACTGGGAGGAAAAGAATAAAAAACCTGCAGCCAGACATGAGCATAACAAAATATTTAATGTACCTTTTCTGAAAGGTAGGCACACCTTGTGCGCATTGTGCTCAGATGCTTTCAGACAACAGCAGCTGCAAAAGATCCACTCAGGCAACACAGCAAAATGCCGCAGAGAATTACAGTTCTACATCACAAAAGAAACTTCACCCCAAATGAAATACAATCTATTCCAAACCCAACTGTAAAACATTAATTTCTTTTCGAAAATGATACTATGCAGCTCTGGATGAGCATCCTGAGAACAGGAGTGTCATAAGAACTCGGCAAGCCAGCCAGCGCTGCGGGAAACAGTGCATTCATCACAGAACTTGTGCGTCAACGTTCTCTGTCTGAGGCAGCTAAGAGTGATGGTGGATCCCCTAACAACCACAGCGCAACTTGCCTTGAACGCTGCGCCTTTTAAAGTGCTTTTGGACATTCTGATGGTAAAAGGCACTAGAAGAAAACAAACGCAATTGCTGAGCAGCTTGTGAGGTGAATTGCAGGCAACACGAATCCCTGCTGATAGGATTACATCAGAGTGAAATCCCAGCCATCCCAACGGGCTAACTCTGGTGCAGTCTCACCGCGTTGAGTCACTTGAAACTGGTGTGTAGTTTCTGAGAGCTAATCTGTTCCAGCATACAGGAGAACTAGGTGACTACAGATCTCTCCCAGCTCCCGCTCCTCTAATTCCAGGACATTTAGCTCCAAATGGCATGTGTTTTGCCTGAGCGGGATCAGAAATAAGACCTGTCCTCCTAGCGCTTTGCACTAAACCAGTCTCATTCCCAAAAAGAAAACAATATTCCTGTTCCAGTCATGTCCCTAGCAGCAACTCCCAGTTAGCAAAGGGCACGTCAGAAATTTATGAGTGACTCTTGGGTGCAACTTCCAATATAGTACAGTTGAAGTTGTCAGTTTTCTCCGCTCACTACAAGACCAGCTGCCTTTATGGGCCTATAACATCGATGACTAACAGCCCACAGGGATATACAAACCAGGCTGCGTGCCAAAGCCCTCTGCGTGCCACTCCGACCAGGGAGTGTCTTCCACAGCCCGGGCCAGACTGAGCAACAACTTGAACTCCGACTCTGCCCTCTGTTGGATGGAGGCAAGCCCATTTAATGCAGAGTGGAGGGAAAAAACTGTCCCAGAGAGGAGGAGCTGCTCTGTACTCCCCACTGCTGCCCTCTCTGCGGAGCAGCCAAGTTGCATGCCCCTAAAGCTGTTTACCTGCATCACCTTAAGCTCCACAGCACACTTGAGGAACATCATCTTAGCAGAGCAGTTTTCTGTTCTTTACTTTTTGCCCTTGTGACAACCAAAGCAACTCACCCCCTATTTCATGGGCTGCAATTCCCACTGCGGAGTTCCTAACCCCTCTGTCCCTATTCTGTGCAGCTTAACAGCAGGTCTTTGACATAAAACGGAAAACAAGAGTCTTGTAATGTTTAGACAGGATGGATGAGTCCCAATTTGCTATGGAAGAAAATTTTCTGCTGTGGCCAGTCCTGTCCCTGCTAACCACAACAGCATTCCTCTCTACCAGCAGCCAAGAGCCAGTAACAATCCCAACCTGTTTGTGTCTGTTTCGAAACAAGAGATTTCCCTCCCTCAAAAGGATGTCATGAGGCTAAGCTCATTACTGGTTCTGATGTCTTTCCAAGAACAACAGATGAATAATGAACAAAGCCAAAATATTGTTGAGAAGATTTTGGGGGAATCTCAGAAGAGCCTAAATAACACAGGAAAATGCCAATAGGATTGAGGCACTTTGAAAAACTTTACTCCACACTCCTTGTATTTTCTCCTCTAAGCCAAACTGCCCGTTTTTAGAGTCCATGCGGCTAACACTCCTGCTTCGAGGCTCATATATTAGCCTCCTGCCCGACACTGACATTGCTCAGTGAATTTAACTTCATACAGCACTCAAAGTCACCTGCAGTGAAACAACCACTTTGCACTCCAAGATCTCAAACTGCAGCAGACACAAAGTTATTTGGCCCAGGCTTGCAAGGAATCTCTCTAGATATCTCAGCCAGCAGTGAAACAGCTGCTCTTTAAAAACAGCCTCTCACAATAGATCAGGATAAGTGAGCAACGCCGATATGCTCAAAATCACCAGGAGAAATTGTGTCAACAGAATGGAATTGGTCACGCTGGAATTTGGCCAGGCTATTTGGGATTAACACCCTGAATATTGCAAAAGAGCCACGAAAAGCTCTGCTTTAAGAGAAGAACCATCAAATAATCCTCTAGATAACTGCAGTGCTCTGCCCATCCACCACTCCAGATGACTAACATGCTTTTGTATCACAGAGGCTCTTCCTTCCACACACTGGTCCAGCCACACCCTGCTCAGCTTGAAAAAACAGAATAAAAAAGGAGGAAGAAAATAATTTTCCTCTTGTCCCCCGTTACGTAAATCAGAGTTGGACTCTTCTTTTTAAATCATTCACAAAACCTTTGAAACTCCAGAAAAACACTTCTCCAACTCTAATTCAATCATCATTTTCTTGTCAAACACTACACTAAGCCAACCAATTCTGATTTGATGTTCAGTCCTCTCACTTCCGCTAGTCTTGTCAACACATTTTCATCTGTTAGCACCTCTGTAGGACTGAGGTTCAGAAATGTTTTGAGGCCACTACAGAAATACTTGCTAGAAACATTGAAAAGTGGTACTTTAAAAAAAAAAAAAAAAGGACATTTGTTAATTTCCACAGGACTTTTCCTTCAGTATTCCAACTTAGGCTAAATATTTCTAAAACTCTATACAGCATTTGTTTACTCCCTGCATCGAAGCAAAGAACCCTGAAGTAAGAATTGGGCTTATGCATTGAATCCCCTTAGAGTAAGATTCTTAACCTGCAGGTCTACTAGTAAAAAGTGTGACTGAGGCCATGCAAAGCCCTAAGAGATGTGTGGCAAGACGCGCAGGAAGAGAAATGGGCGCTTAGGATCCAACCAAGCTCACTGGAGTTAAAGGAAGAGCAAGTTTGGGTCAGCATAATCCACTAGAAGATTCCGTGTTTAAGGTGGCTGAGAATACGCAGCCAGCAAGTGGTAATCAAGCAGCAGCAGCTGGCAACCAAGAAAAGGAAACCCGAGGTTCTGTGTATGCTGAAGAGTTTTTCACTGACTTCACAACAGCAGGACAGAGCTATCTGTGCAACATGGAGGAAAGAATATGGCACAAACAGCAGGCCATAAGCAAGGAAACAAAGCTGTGCAGATGCAGGGATAGGAAGTGACGTTACATGGGTTAAGCAGCACTAGCTAGGCCAGGATCCCTCTCTGTGATCCAGGGCAAGCACAGGAATTCACCCACTTTATCGGGTGCCTTTTCAGAGCACAGTCTCTGCTAGGTAGTTGTTTGCTTGGTTCCCTTCTCTTCCCACTAAACGTGTGCTGATATTAGAGGAGACAGAGTAAAAAAAGTGCTCAGTTGAACAGCTTCCAGCAAAGCAGTTCAGTGTCTTCAGCAGAACTGCAGTCGCCTTCTCCTTCTGCTTGGTCCCAGGAGGGGATTTGCTACAGGCTGGTGGAGCTCTGGCAGCTCTGACATTTCCAACATGCTCATGACAGAGCAAAGCCATCAGTTTCCCCTCCTCCAGGGGAACACCCGGTAGTCACACACATGCCCCTTTCAGCCTTCCTTCCTCGTTTTGCTGTCTGTGTTCTTCAGGGCACACAGCAGGCTGCAGAACAGCTCGTACCAAAAGAAGACAAGGCCAGTAGAAACAGCAGCCTTCAGCAAGCTGGGTGAAAGGCCCTTAAAGAATCCACCTGGGCCCTCCTCTCGCATGATCTGTCTTATGCAGTCCAGGAGACCCCTGTACATCCGTACCTAGGAGCGAAATGGCAACAAGGTTAAACAAGAAAAATCCAGGACAGCTTACCTGGAAAAGAACACAGCCCAAACCATAGCACAGAAACATAGTCTAGATGTGCAACCTGCAGATGCCTTTCTGGCTATTATTATAACTAACTGAAAGTTTCAGAGTCTGTTTGTAGAGTGCGGTAGAGGAAAAGTACATATTTTGCATCAGCAATGGGTTATGCAGATTATTCTAATTGAATGGCCGCAAAATCTTTATGCTACAACAGCGTGTATTATTTATGGTACAAGTTTGTGAAGTAATTATTTCAGATTGTGCTGCTACTGTTTTCCATCCCCTTCACTAGAGTCTCTAAAGGGGACAACTTTTCAGTTTTCTGACAGAAAGACAACACAGCTACAGCACGCAGAAGTCTCTAAATTAGTTGTCTGCATGTCACTGTGTCACACCGCGAAGGTTTAACATCTTGTGACACACCAATGCTAAGAACAAATTCTGTACCTCACTGGCAGGGGAAAAGCATCCAATGCAGCAGGTCAAGAGTTCAAATTCCTACCAGAGTTTCTTGAGGTACAGACTAATTTGCTTCTCAGATCCAAGGAATTTGAAGGAGAAAAGAAAATTTCCACATTTCAGGGAAAAAAAAAGATATAGTTCCTTGAAAGATCTGTATTTATCTTACAGTGTATTTTGAGGTGGTAAGGATAGTGCTAAAGAACACCAGAAGTATCTAATGTGCTTTGAATTTCAGGATGTTCTGGTACATAAGACACACACGGAACACTTGGTGCCCATTCCAAGCATCAAAATATTAACTGGAAAAGGATCCTGACAGACAGGCAACCCCAGCATAAAGCTAGTGTCATCGTCTGCTAGTGATGTGGTCCTGAATCACAAATACCAAGCTGCAACTAGAAAAGTAAATCGCAACACCTTTGCCTGTCTAACTCATCCCCAGCTCCAAGACCGCCAACCTAATGGAGATGGACGAGAAGGCAGAGCACAGGTACGTTGGACAATGTCACAAAATGAACCCAGTTTATTCATGCAGCTATTCCCGTTATTAAGCGAGACCAACGCTCAGCTCCCAGAAGTTCCCTGGTTGCTCCCAACCTGAATAGGAACACAACGGGTACCGCTGGTGAATCATCACTGCATTCTGGTGATGACTGGCTCTGCATTGTCCGGATGCATATCCATAGTTATGAAAATCAGTCAATTCAAACATTTCTCACCTGCCCAAAGGCTGCCCGGGCATGCTCGAAACCACCCACTTGCAGTCGTTTTTTAAATAGGTCAAAAGGGTAAGTGAGGGTTTTGCTGATGATTCCAGCGCAGCTGCCACAAACAAGGTTTTTAATGTTGCCTGAGAAGCAGAAAGTGGAGAGGATAGTGGGGAAGGAAAAAGGAGGATTAGCAGGGAGTTCTGATTAAAGATCATGAGTGCTAAGTTAGAACCCCTTTTCACAAGAAGTAAGGCCATAGTTTGGGCCACAGTACCTCAATCTGTATTTTCTACATCAGGCTCACAATGTCCGTTGGAGCCAGAGCGTAACAGCTCACCTTGGTTCATTACACTGATTTATGCTTTTCTCTGCCAAGTGGCATTGCACACAAAAACCCCCAGTCACCAGAGAACCTGCCACTAGTGGATGGAAAAGTTTTCATGCCCCCCAGTAAAAGCCTGGTCACTGGAAATCTTGCACTTCTAATTCCCATACTGACTTATTCTGGATTGGAATAACTCACAAGTTGACACTGCCTGATGATTTCAGAGGCTTGTGGGAAATTAATTTTGTGATATTACGACTTTTTTTCTGACAAACATGAATTCCCAGCACAAAACCACTATCAGCTTCTGCCATCTAAAAATAAATATGCAGAGATGATATTGAAAAGTCTAGTTCCTCTACTGAAGAAATTCCATTGAGGAACAAAAACACGCTGATGTTGCATATACTCTCTCTCAGGGAAGCACTAGTATCTAGAACTGTCAAGGTGACAGGTCACATCAGGATGAGGTTCTCTTATAACGGAACTAGAAATCAACATAAAAATATCAAAACAAGAGATTGGCAGTTTTAAATTAGGCTAAATGAATCCTCCAATGTAACAGCTGTGCTGGAACCTGCAGGCAAATTTCCTGAGGAAATCCAAGAGTCCGGTCCCCACAGCACTAATGAAACAGAGAAACATTAAGCCAGCACTGTCTTCCCACAGCATGAGTAATGTGACACAGCTCAGGAAAGAGTACCCTAGCCTGTGACACTTCACTTTCACATCCATCTACATTTCCATCATGGTTACTCCATAACAGGAGCTGTTTGTAAACTTCACTGTACTTACTTTCACAGTATCTGTGCAGGGATAAGAATGAGAGATGGGAAATTGAGATACTTTTCAGATGTTGCATCAAAAAGGGTGATAGGACAAACTGAGCTTACGTCAGTCTCCCAAACTAGCATTCATCCTTTCTTTCTCTCCAGATCACAGACATCACTGTCCCAAGTGCCTACCTCCTTTCTTTCCTTCAGCTGGAATCACCCATTCAGAAAACTGTTGCAGGATGTTGTAGAAGGAGAACTGGAGACCAGCATATGGAAAGATAGCAATGATTGTGGGGGTCAAACCTCTATAGAAAGTCCGAGGCCCTTCTGTCTGGTACATCGTCACAACTGCATGGCGAAGGTTGCGATAGATCTAGACAATAAAGGAGAGGCTGACTCTCTAGTGAAACAGGCTTAAAACCAGCAAACCAAAGGTCAGATTATTTCCCAGTAACGAGGACAGGCATTCCCCACTGCCCAAAACACAGCTGACTGATTTTCAGCACAAAGCGATGAACAAAGTGATTTTGCTCATCTTGACACAGCATTCTCAGCTAAGCCCTTGTGACTCTTGTAAGGAAGGTGACAACCTACACCTGCTTCTGAGCCACAAGAGACTAACTGAACGAATGATCATGAGCTCTGCACTGAAAGGCCTGGGCTGACACTGTGTCCCACACCCCAGCTGTGCTGCTGAGGGGAAGAAACAAAGCACAGAGCTGAGAGCTGTGGCCTGAGACCACTTGCATCACAGATATTTATTTTTCTCTTAACAGCTCTGCTTGGTCCTGCAACAGAATTCATATAATATATATTGTGATTCTACTGCAAGCTAAGCCAAAAAACCAGAAACGGCTCTGATACAAACCCATATGAGTCTAGTTAATACAGACCTAATTAGCATGGAGACCAATTCTTGCATAAATAAGGACATGAAACACAGGTGAAAGGTGACTGGTTTCAAATATCACCCCCATCATTACCTAAACAGGACTCTGTGCAAATGGAAAGTTTCAAACATGCAATGTTCAACAGACTGGGGAGTGTATTCTATAAATGGCCAAATGAAAATTGAGTTATCCTGTTAAGGACAGTTTCTCCTTTCTGGATCACGTCTCAGGAGTTGAACACAATCAGGAGCAGCAAAACGTAATTAAGAAAGCTGTGTCAACAGCACAGAAGATAACTTGGCAACAGTGCAAACACTGCCCAATAACAGCACCTGTTCCTTTATGCTAACCCACAGACTGTTATGTACTTTTCACATCTCCTATATTCACACACATGAAATATTGCTACTGCTATGGGTGATAATTCTAAATATTGACTCTGCAACCATACCTTAGGCTCACCCTGAGCAGCAAAGCGGGTGCGTAGCGTGTCAACAGGTTGAACTGCAACAGTGGCCGTGCAAGCAGCCAGTCCACCGCAGATGAAGTGCACAAAGGAATCACGGGCATTGTACGAGGTGGTGATGTGCACCAGTTTCGTCAAGCTTTCAAACGCCATGAACTTACAGAAACAAACATACACAGGTCAAGGAGTCAATCCTTATCGCTGACATGGATCTCCCACTCCTCTCTCATTTCACCAAAAGAGCTCCACCCACTGCTTGTAACCACCTTCTCTCTCTGTCCTTGAAAAGTCCTCCCTAACTTGCAACCTGTTGGAGCACGTGCTCAAAGAATACCTTGTAAAAATCACTGAGCAGCCCAGGGAATGCTTGGGATATTCTGATCTCTTGAAACTTCTGCTAAATCTTGCATTTAGAATTGTGAAAAACTCATTTTAATGCTCTATGTGTCCTGAAGAGTATTTGCGATATTACAGATATGCTGCCCATTACTCTTTCAACCACTGCTCATAAACTATGTTGTCAATATTTATAAATTAAGCATAACAATACCGCATGAAACACCATCATCGGCTTCACTGATGTTTTTACTAACGAGTTATTAGGGTGACAGTGTGAACCAAAGCAAAAAAACTACACAGGCTTGTAAAACAAACAGCTAAGCCAAGCATCAGGAACAAACAGGGCTTGTCTATGACACTCAGTTTGCTCTAGCTGTACTCCGGGCTGGCCAGGCAGGCCATTCAGCAAGCTCGGAAATATTAACTTAGGAATTATCCATCAGCATGACTGGAGCTGACTTGCATCAGTATAGTTTAAACCTGGAGCTTTCTGCATCTGCCCATGCAGCCAGTCCTATGTACCGGGTTGGGCCCAGTTGATATTCAGTCGCCTCACCTGAACAGCTCCGTAGCCAACTGAAAGGAACTGAGCAGGAACATGGCCCTTCCAGAAGGCTACCAACCCCTCTTCCTGGAAGATACACCGTACAGCTTGCAAGATACCATGATACTTAGCCCCTGGGTTTCTGGAGGAGAGCTGCTCGATCTGAAGCTGGAGGAATATAGAGAAAATATTTTCGATTTCAAGTCACATTTCAAGTGTCAAAGTTCAAGTGTCCAACTGAGGAATTTGCAATGCTAAGAGCCAACCAATGCTAAGAGATGACATTCTGCCTTCCCACAGAATCACATCTAGAACCGACTAGGATGTTATTTATGTAGGGCTCTAAAAGAATAAAACCATGCATGCAACACAAAGGGAATCAGTAGGGATGATGGTGAAATTCAGTTAGATAGCAGAGATCATTCAGAAAAACAGAGGAAGAGAACAAACTATGAAAAATAAAAGATCCCATTCAAACACACAAGTTAAGTTATATAAACAGAAGCAGTGGACACAAAATAGCCCTGCTACCTTGCATAACCCGCATACAATGTAGGTGAGGGCTGACGAGCAGATTTAGTGCTCTCTGGTTGCACAAGTGACCTGTTCATCCAGGCCACCATCAGCTCTGCTCTGTAGCAGGCTCTTTCACCCGCTGTCCCCAAGCATGCCACGAGGAGAATACCTGAAAGCGGATCTTGATGACATCCAAGGGGCTGACAAGGACCCGAGTGACCAAGCCGGATGCTGATCCTGCTGCAGCTGCTTCCACCGTGGAGACGCACTTAGCCTCAGGGTCATAGCCGACCATGCCTGCCTGGTGTCCCCACGGCCTGAGCAGGGGACAGGGTACCCCAGTGAACCCTCTCCAGGCAAGGCGCTCTCCCCACTCCAAGCCTCTATAGCTTCA